CTACAAAATAAACATAGGCAGTTAAGTAAAATTCACATAAACTAAATTTTACAATTTTTTTTTTTAAACACAGCCACATATGATCCTAATATCCTCTAATTTGAAAAATAAACTATAAAAATACAAACTTCTCTCTCGCATTCCACATTACTCTTTTTTCTCCCTCTCTCCTTCTGATTTAAAAAATAGATATTATCACACACAAAGTGGGGAATTATGCTAGTAAATTTGATTAGAACTCACCATGTGATATGAAGATATAATTTAAAATTAATAAAATGGTCAAAAATTTGAAAGTGAGAGATTCTCTTGCATAGAAATAAAAAGGAAAAAGTGATAACTGACTGAGAGCTTCTATTCTCTGTACCAACATGCTAACAAAATTTGATAATGAGCTCGTTTAGAAGTACTTTTAAAATAGCTAAAAACGCATTTAGAGAAAATATTTTTGGGTTTCAAAAACACTTGAAGTGCTTTCTGTAAGAAGCACCAGTTATGCTTCTTGCCAAAAGCACTTCAAATGCTTTTCCATAATTCATTTTTTTATTAAGAATTTATTCTAAAAACATTTTTGTTGAAAATATTTTTAATCATTTTAAAAAACACTTCCAAATTAGCCTCATTTCTTTAGCAAAGGTTCAAAATGGATCTGATGACCCATTTGCATACGTTATTGGAGATGCTATTACTACGACATATATTTAAGATGATTGGAAACTAGCTAGCAAGCTTTTACCTTTTGTATTTGTTGCATGTGAGTTTTTAGCAAAGCCTAAACCACATAAATAAAAGAAGAAATTTTTTTGACGCATTTTTTTTGTTTCATTATGCACACTCATATTTATTTTTGTCTATTGATTTTCATTTGATTTGCTTAGTTTAATGATTAAAATAATCAAGGGTGTGTCGATGGGAGAAATGGGGTGTGAAAAGTATTTACCCAAATGGAAGTTCTCAAACTTCATTACTTTCCAAAATAAAAATGAAATATCATGAGGGGGAAGAGACTTCTATTAAACAAAAACGTTAATGTGACAATTTTTCAAACAAACTATGCAATGTGATTTGAGAAACTTAAAATGCATAATGACACATGTTAGATTAACCGTCATTTTTATGTTAGATCAACTGTCATTTTAATGTTAGATTAACTTCTTCATGAGGGGCTTGCAAGAAGGGAAAAAAGGGGTTTGAATCATTTTTTCTATATTATAATCATCAATGTATTTATTTATTGATTTTACATTTTTGGGGATTAAAGTAATAACTAACCTCTCCGAAAGAGGAATCTGTGATACAGTGGTGATTGTTCTGGTGCAATCCTTTTTTCACTGTAAAACACAAACAGAGAGACACACATGCACCACAATGTTACTCTTTTGGTGAACCATTTTCTGCCATGGCAAAAATCGACAACATTTGTATATAAATACGCACATCATCGATATATGTAGTACCTGTTGGCAGTCCCACATCGGTGGAGAAAATCAACAAGGGTGGCTTTAAATATGATTACTTTATTCTAACTAATACCGAGGTATTTTATGGTAAAACCTCACAACGGATTAGACAAGTGATAAAGTTAGGGACAATGTTGGGGTTGTTAGAGTGGGGTGAAAAGAAAATAATGGGGTTTAAATATGATTACCCTCACTCTAACTAATATCGAGGCATTTTGTGATAAAACTTCACACATGACGGATTGGGTAGGTGATAAAGTTGGAGAGCTAGCTTTTGAGTTTCATTGAAAACAAGTTTGGACTCTTAAAATAGAGCCGACCTCTGAGTTTTAATTGCCGATGTGTGGATCTCCACGTGTGAACCACTAAATGAGGTTACACGTGAGGGGGAGTGTTGGAATCCCACATTGGTGGGTGAAAAGAAAAACAATGGGATTTAAATATGATTACCTCGCTCTAACTAATATCGAGAACATTTGTGATAAAACTCTACACCTAACAGATAGAGCATGTGATAAAGTTGAAGATAGTATCGATATTATCAAAATGAGGCCCTGCAGGCCCGTTGTACGTGTGTTTTTATGTGTGTTTCTAGCTTTGTTTTTCTCTCTCTCTCTCTCTCTCTCTCTCTCTCTCTCTGCGCCAACAGTTGATTAATTAAATTAGCTACGGTTTCTTTTTCACGTGGGCTGTAGCCCAACCCATTTTGCACCGCAAGAGTTCGGTATCTTGTGTTTTAGTTTCCATGCTTGACCCTTCTTGATTGACCGAATCAGGTAAGGAGAAGACTCTGACTGAAAAGGAAAGGAAATAAAAAGCAGTCCAACTCCAAAACCTAAAACCTGGTAGCAGCTGCATGTTGCTGCCTTCCAACCACAGTATATCAAAAACTTGTGAAAACCCCTAGAAAAAAACACCACAAGAAAAACTATTTGAAGGCGATGAAATACGATGATCAGGCATAATTTGTTAACTACATTAAAATACCATGTTAACCTATGAATCTATGAAAGCTTGAAAAAAGAAACAATGGCAGAAAGATGAACAAGGAAAGAAGTTGAAGGAAATGCTCTCTGTATTTATCACAATAGTCGAATACAACTCAACAGAAAATGATCTCTACAACTTCCTTTTTTATAGTCATTAGGCCTATTGCAAAAGATCCAAATACCCTCACTAACAACATCTAACTAACTCAATCATATGGTTATTGGATTGATAATATAAGTGAATTGGTTATATTCAAAGTAACAAATAATAGATTTTTCAAATTACATATTCTATTTTAAACGATATTTGCAAATTAATGTGATTGGTGAAGGGAGATTATATTCACACACCCCAAATTACTTCTCCCACACCCTTTCAATTTTTGAATATTTTTCTATCAATGTGTTAGTGGTGTGTAGAAAATATTAAAAAATTAAAAAGGTGTGAGAGAAGTAATTTGGGGTGTGTGAATATAATCTCTCTTGGTGAATCGCATGTGTGGAGAACTGTAAGGAGCCAACCCTAGTGTAAGAGAATTGAATTGAACCCACCTACACTACTATAACGACAGTTATGTGTATGCCAATAGCAAAATCATTTAGACAAGAATAATGATTTTCTACACATATTTATTGTCCTCATGCACACTCATTTATTTACGACTTTTAGATCGAAAAAACAAAGAATATTCAAACGACATAAATAAATACGGGTGTACAAAGGATAAAAATAGTACTATAAAATAATTTCACTTGAGAACATGAAAATTCTTTAAGTTATGGGGGAGATAAATTACCAAAGGAAAAAAGGTATTAGGATAAGAGAGGTGAGAGACAGGGTCAGATCATTATAAGATGATGGATTGATAAATGTCCATTTTTTGATAGGAAGACAAATGCCCGGCCGTTTGATCAACTTTTTGGTTATCATTAGTATGACTAAAGAGACATGCACTTCTGTAAATGAAGGGATCCATGTTAATTTATGTCGATATCGACGGTTGAAGGTTATCGGAATTTTCGAAAAAGAAAATGTCTTGTAATTAAGTAAGACGCTGGACAAATAAGTTGTCTTCTCCTAATTAAGCATGTAACCAAATCGTTACGGTTCCCACCACATGAAAAATAAATAAAAAACTGTGGTTCCCATGCAACATTACAAGTTGGGACTTTGAAATTGGAAAGAAAATATGAGGTTGACTCGTGGATGTTCTTGATATTTTAAGTTATTGATTAGAGCTTATGCAAATGCATGATTAGATCAGTAGCTAGAGCCGTGTACTCCATTGCACACAAAGTCAAATCATTTCTCATTTTTTGTAGGAAACAATCATCTCCATGTTTTTTTTTGTCAATTTAAAATACTTTCACGACAGTTTAGTTTGACCATTGGGTAAAGCTTTCTCAAGGCTTTGGGTTCAGAAGTAAGGCTGGGAGCCCATCATCAAGGTTTCTCATTATTTAGTTTTCTATGTCATTATTTTTTCCTAATATGTCATTGTTTTGATCATCGTGAAACAAAGATTAAGCTGTCCTTTCGGGAACATCCGACAAAATTGAAACGATACAAAGAAGATTAGTATGGCCGTTGCACAAAAATGATACGCATAAATCGAGAAAGAAGGATTTAAAGTTGAGAACTTTTTCATTGTTCTGAAAAATGTACAACTAGACTAATAACTAATTGGTTTATAAATGTGATTACGATATTACGCAAAGTTTCATAAGGAAATTTGGGTACTCAAGGGTTTGTTTTGTGTCAGTAAAATGTAAAAGTAAAAATTTTAAATTCTAGCAATTGACAAATTTAAGATACAAACTGTAATCAAAAGGATATTTGTAAGACTTTATGCAAATAAGTTTCATATATTTCATAGAAGTTTTTCACTGACGTCAATTCAACTTGCAAAACATGTATATATTCTTATTGTTTCAAGTTGCAGAGAAATAACAGATCACAACAAAAAATAAAATAAAAGCTTGATCAACATGATCCCTTGCAAATTTCATTCTCCACATATATATCTCGATGGATATTATTATTAGGCAGAATCAAAGTCAAAGCATCCACCCAGGAATGTATCCATTATCATGCTGGCCCGGATTTCCAACATTCATTCCATTATGTGAACCCAAATGGGTGCATCTGCATACCCAGTGAATTTATGCAAAGTAGTAAGAAAAGGAAAAAGATTAGTGAATTTATTCACTTGTTTTTTCGGAAGCTCAAATTGTGTCTCTTAACTTTTTAAATAACACAATTTGAATTTCAAAAGGTTAGGTGAGACAACGCTTGAGTTGTAAGGACTTTGTCATAATTAATTCTCAAAAGAAAGTGATGTTAATTAATACAAAAATAATTAATGGAGTTTATTTTTTAAAAGGGTGGAATTAGTTACCCAATTTGGTAAGTGGAGTTGTTTCCTCCCAAGGGATGGAAGAAGGCTTCTGAGTTGGAAGGAAGCCAAGTTTGCTGAATATTGTTGTGGCCATGGCCTGCAGCTTCCCATGCCATAAATTGTGGAGCTTGCTCAATTGTTTCTTCCAGCTGTATTGTGAAAATGTATCGATCAATGATGTTAAAAAGAGATTAATTCATGACTTACCCTGTTTTGAAGATCAGAAAGCTGATCAAGCATAAATTGAGTCTGATCAATAACAAGTGGCGACAAAAATTATCAGAAAATCATTTATCTCTTGAAGATGCATCACCATGAACTGTAAGTTGGAATGAACAATTCTAGCTAGTATTCTAAAATCATAGGAAGATACCTATATAATTTATATGCCTCAGGCCCTCAGTCTATCCGCATAAAAGCATATAGCTCAAGGAGTGAAGGCCCAGGTTTGTTAGGGTTAAGCCACCAGTTTTCAAAACGCTTCAGTAGGTGAAACCAACACTCTTTGAGTTAATTAACTAATTACCTTTGTTGACCTAATTTTGTTCAAGGAGGTCTCCAGTTGATGCTCAAGCTCCTCAAGCTCCTTTTTGTTCAGGGTGGCCAAATCTTCCCCAAGAAGGTTTCTGCAATATTAGTTAATTCAGGACGATCATCAATCTACTTAATTTTTTTTTATATAAAACAGAGGATTAGGTAATATTAGCTCGTTGGAGTAGAACGATGTAGGACGCAGAGCGTTCACTCTCAAACCGACGAGTTGGAAGCTGAGAAAGGTTATTAATGAAAATTATGCATGCAAACAGTACTACCTTTGAGATTGTTGGAGGACCTCAACTCTTGTCTCCAGCTGCAAATACTCCTGATAGCCGTTCTGCTTGGGGACAAATTAAAAACAATTTTGTCATTAGGTCACAATTTCTAGCTAGGATTCTCGATCATCAATAAACTCTAATATTATACACGCAAACAAATACTGATTGAATGGATCGGTAAAGTTGGATTGTTTTGGTCCTCATAATAGTACTCCAGCTTAATTAGCTACCTGAGTCTCGTTGGCAGGTCGGTTGGCGTCCAGGGACCTATAACTGCATCTTTGGTACTTTTCAAGCGTTTTCATCATGCTAAAGATGAACGATTGAAAAATACGGTAAGATCACTACATTTTTAATCACAAAAAAAAAAAAAAAAAGGGATTGGAAACTTGTAGAATAATTAATAGATCATTGGATGATCCACGATTAAAACAATGTAGATTCAGAGGAAGAAAACAAAAAAGATTAAATATTAAGCCTTTAGATATGTAAACAACAAACATTATCTTAGAGGAACAATATATTATTAATGCAAAGTCCAAACGGGAAAGGTGATGAAGGATTAGGTGAGCTAAACAATACATAAATTACTCTCTTCCGGCTTATTGTGGTTAGAGAGAACCAAAATTCTTGAGGCTTGGTCTCTTTGACATACCATTGTAGCGTACTTTCTTCTCATAATAATTAGAAGAATCCTAAACGAAATTCCTCAAACAAATCTTCTCAATTTCAAAAAACATACATTTGTTAAATTGAATTAACCAATAATAAACAAAGTTCAACAGCATTTAACACTTCAGATAACATGAATGAGCTACCATCCAGTGCTATGTTGTATGTCAACTAGATATATACCTCGTATATATATTGGCTTAAAGCAACTTGCATTTGTATACTACATAAAAAACGAGAAATTCTAAGTTTTCAGTTTCATGTATGTATATAGTTAGTTGCTTGCTTGGAACCCTAAAATAAGGGTGGCAACTCTTATTACTTGAAAAAGTTTGGAACCCGAAGTTAGCTTGGCATTTTTCTAGTAAAATCTTGCCTTCATTTCCATTTCAAAACAGATACAATAACAAAAAAAAGCTAATACCTATCACTATGAATAGACGATTTAACAAAAGAAGGAATAGACGATTTAACAAAAGAAGGAAATATATGCAATACTTGAGTACTGATGAGAGAAACTACAAGCATCATACAGTGATCATGTAATTTAGAATGTGATCGCAATTAGCTGAATTATGACAATCGAATGCATTAATATTAATTAAGTTATACCTCAATAAAAAAGAAGTAAATTCATCAACCTAATAATTGTAACTGCATTAACATTGAAGAAAATCTGAAGACCGGGTCTTACACTACTAAATTCATTTTTTTTTTACTTTAACAAACTGTGAGAGAATTATATTACATTTGTCTAAACTATAGTCAAGTTTAATAAACATACATTTAGGACTATTAAATTTTAATAACTAATGATGTTAAAAATACATAATCATCGTATTCTTTATAGAACAAGTAGCAATCAGTATAATAAGATTGCTAAAAACAAGACTGCTCAAAGTATCACTAAATTGTAATAAAAACTGTTATTCACACTTTAAAAGAATTATCATCATACTCCAAATTTATTAAAATCTTTCTACAAAGTTTTTGCATAACCTTCCGCAGCTTTGAAACAAAGAGGCAGACCTTTGTCTTTCTTTTACTGAAAATAATATTTTAATTGCAGCACAAAGTACCGCATGCAGAAAAATTAAACATCAAATCAACCTGGCACCGAATCATAACAGTGACCGGTATTATTACTGGTCTCTCCCATTAGCAGAATATTTTTGCTTACTACAAGTGGTATTAATGTTCACTATTTTAAATATTATTCATCGTTATATTAGTTTAAATTTTAAGATTTCTGTAGTTGATAAATACAAATATTAAAATTTAAACTTATCAAATAATAATTAATAAGTTGGTGAGTACTACCACCACTCAATAATGGTGAGAAAAAATGTTAAGAAAATTGAGGTTCCAACATAAAACCAATTGGCAATATGGAGAATTGCTCAGCTTACTTATAACCCCACGCCCCTCACAAGCCTAACACGTGAGATAACCTACTCTGAAACCATGAAGAAAGTTGAGATTCCACCATAAAACCAATTGGCAATATGCGTAGTACTCCAACTTACCTATAAGCACATGCAAGGTTCTTTATCCCATTAATGTGAGACTCATTCTCAACAAAATGCGTCCTAAAATAAAAGTGCTGCTGACGACAATAAAAAAAAAAAAAGAAGAGAAATGCTAAGGGGATCTCTCAAAGAGGGACTCTCCATGGACTTCCTGCCAGTACCTCACAGTTTAATGTTAATTCCTATACAAATATTGTAAAACATATGCCAAAAATATGACATAACAGAAAATCTATGTAGAATCGCACTTCTAAGAGTCTCCTTGGCATTCCTCGTAAAAAAAATGATCAAAGACTCAGTAATTTTCTTGTTAGTTATTTCTGGAAAACACCATCAATCAAAATGTTCATCTTGTTGGTTTTAAAAGAGAAAAAAGAAAACACACACATAAAAATAGTATAAAAAACAATAAATGTGACATCCTACATCGCCTAGGGGAGTGATCCTTATATGTATTGTATATTCTCATCTCTACCTTGCACGAGGCCTTTTGGGAGCTCACTGGCTTCGGGTTCCGTAGGAACTCCGAAGTTAAGCGAGAAGGGGGCTAGAGCAATCCCATGATGAGTGACCCACTGGGAAGTTGCTCGTGAGTTCCCAAAAACAAAACCGTAAGGGAATGGTAAGCCCAAAGCAGGACAATATCGTGCTATGGTGGTGGAACGGGCTCGGGAAGTGATCCGTCCCGGGCCGGGATGTGACAATAAACCAAATATGTCTAAAAAAGTACAAAATGGTTCACAATTCAGCAAAGTTGTTCAGATTAGCTGAAACCTATGTTTTGTAAGTAGCAAATACAAAAAACGAAATCAAAATTTTGCAAAACCTAAAAATTACTTGGGAAACTTTAAGCGTGTCTAATATATCGATAGGTTAACAATTTCACAGCTTAAAAAAAAAAAAAAATTACAGACCAGTAACAAAGATCAATTTAATTAAATATAAAAGATCAAAGATCAATTTAATTAAACTAGTTAGGAAAAGATTGGGAAACACCACTAACAAACCAGTAAATTTGATTCAATTGTTTCAAAACCTAGTAAATTATCTTTTACTATATATAACCTGCATAATCCAAGAGAAAAAAGTGTTCTAAAAAGAAATAAAATTAAGAAAGAAGAGAAATAAAAGAGTTTAGATCTTTAATTATGAGAAAAGCGATAACTAAGAAAGCATCTTCTTGCTTAAAGTGATAACTTGGAACGGATCAACATATCTGAGCTGAATGAATCAAGAAAAAGAAAGAAAATGAGTGAAAAATTAATGCAGCCACTGTTACACAACAGAAAGGCCACTGACATTCATCAAATACGTAAATCCAAAGTAAAATTAATGCATCCTTGATATTAAAAAATGTAAATATTATACATATATACCTAGAGGGGAGAGAGAGGGAATATTATATATATATATATATATAGATAAATAGATAGATATACCTTAAACTGCTAGAGAATTCATAGAGCTTGCCACGGCCAGAGAAAATAATGAGGGCAACCTCAGCATCGCAGAGAACTGAGAGCTCAAAAGCTTTCTTGAGCAGCCCATTTCTTCTCTTGGAAAAAGTCACTTGCCTGTTACTTTTATTTTCTATCCTCTTCATCTCAACTTTACCTCTGCCCATCTCTCTCTCTCTCTCTCTCTCTCTCTCTCTCTCTCTCTCTCTGTAGACTCGGTTAAGATCAGAGGTAGACAATCTTTCTTTCAGGAGACTGTTTATTTAGGGTATATACCAAAAGGGATAAAAAGATTAGTGCAATATGAAGAAAATGGAAACCCCTGAAAAAGGTCTTTGTATTGGTGTTTGGTTTTATCTTTCCTGGTAGCTATTAGCTAGAACTGTTCATTACACAGACATGTATTAAATATTCTTGGGTTGTTTTGTATATCGAATATCCATCTATACATACAAACAAGTGTTTTGCGTGGTTTCACTCTATGGTCCAGCTTTTCCACTGCATCACCCATTTTTTCTTAATTATATTTTCTTTATTTTTAGGGTATGTTTACTTAACAAAATTGAGGAATGAAGGGAAAGAAAACTTAAAGATAGGTAAATGTGGGAACGAGAATTAGATCGACTAGCTCTTTACTTGATTTGATTATTGATTTTTAAGTATTTGATTATGAATTTTTAGAAGAAACTCATCATTTTCTGAATGTAGCTAATCCGATTTTTTGACGTTCAATGTATTTAATTACGACTTTAAGAAAAACTCTTACTTTTCATATTTCATATATGAGTAAACATGAATAAAAATTAAGAAATAAAATACATCTTATACTTATATTTTGTAAACATGCTATTAACAAATAGCAAATACTGTGCAATGTCTAGAGCCTCTAGGTTACCTTGTATTGCCTATCGGACGTCCAACAACAACCTTAACAGTTGCATACTTTTGGAAGCACTTAAATTATGTCAGATATATACATACTGGTATCAGGGTTTCCTTTTTTATATTGTTTTAGGGAGTTCCATTTTCTTTTTTAATGAAGCAATGTTTTCTGCAACCCCTCTAACAGTATAAATATTATTGAATTTACATTAACAGTAGATTCAGTACAACCATGAAACTTAATTTTGACAATTTATTACTAAGGTGGTTAGGCTTTTATTATTTTTTTCAAAGACCAGCAGGTGTGATATATATTTATATGGGTGTTCCTCAAAATTTAGTCCCTTTTTGTGTGTTTGTATGCTAAAAGTTTAGGAGAGGGGATGCTACCCATGTCAAGCCATAACATATTACAAGTCTCTTTGAGGACTTACAGAGGAGATTTTAGAACATTTTTTGGTTTTTACAGTATGCCTACTAAGAATAATTGCCAGCAACGGAATTCGACCTAGGCCTTGACTAACAAAAAGAACAATCATTACCCACTTAATTAACACTCCCTCGTTGGCCTTTCTGTATGTACTTCACAACAATTATGGATTGCAGATGGAGCTAGCTATTAACGTTCTTCTTGCATGTCCTTGGAATTCCTATTGTTGGGTTAATTAGATGAGTCTGAATTTGTCAGTTCTTATATTTCTTAAACCTAGCATTTGAAACAATTTTTTAGCCATTTTCAGTTCATCATCATCATTTTATTATTTACTATGCAACTATGCACCTTTGGCAAGGCCACCAGTTTCCTCAGTTATCTATAAGTGCATCTTCGGTAGACTAGCTAAAAAAACTTTTTAAGTTTTTTTTTAATTTTAAAATTCTTCCATGCTATGTAGCACGAGTTTTGGATGACTTGAATTGAGTTGGATTATTGCTTTTATTGTGGTCCTATGAATTCAGACCATCCAACACTCCTAACATTTAATATTACATAGCACCGAAGTGAAATCCTCCTTTTTCATCCCAAATCCTTTCACATGTGCAACTTTTGAAGTAAAAGTACGTTTTAGTTTTAAAGAAACAACTAAATACTCGAGGTTAATCTAAATTTGAGTAGAATAGCTTAATCGACAAACTTGCATATCTTTATTTCATACCTGTTTTCTTTTCTATCTCATTAAATATGATGAAAGAAAATTAAGAAATAAAAGAGAAACATGGTTTATAAGAGTTTTCCTCTAGTTAGATGATACATTAATTACCGGTTTGATAACTATTTTAGCTTTTAATTTTTAGTGTTTATCCTTTTTAAAATTAAAAATTAAAAATAATTACCAAACGAGTTTTCAGTTAAAAAAAAAATGAAAAAACAAAAATATTATTAAGCAACTCCTAAAAGTACCATATGTGCCATTTGAAGTCAACTTAGCTGGCATCTTTATAAGAGCAACTCCACCCCACTAAGATAATTATTGTCCAGGTTATTGAGCTAAGGAAATTACTACCTTAGTGAATAAAAAAAAAAAAAACATTTTATTTTCTATTTTTTGTGTCTATTGAACCCTCGTTTCATTTGTCCTTCTTCCTCCACATTTTTCCCTCCACATTTTTCAAAATTCTCAACCAATTTCATTTCCCAAATCCAAAATTCCTAGCTGCTGCTTCAAAGCCCAAATTCAAAACACAAGACTCAATTGTCGACAACGTCGGCGCTATGCTCAAAGCCCTTCAATTTAAGTACGACTCTCCTTCCTCCTCCTCCTTCCTCCTCCTCTTCTGCTGCCCCCGTCGCACAAGGTTGGAACACCATCAAGCTCTACCTCCACGTCGGTGGCAACACTCCTAAGGCCAAGTGAATCGTCTCCGAGAAGACCGCCTCCTCCCTCGACCACCGTCTCCTGGTGCTACACCCTGACCTGCAAACGTCTTTTTTCATGTGATGTTGTGATGAGGTCAGCATAACGTCATATCGCCTCAAGCACAGAGGCATGTGGGAATAGCCCAACTACTTAATCTGCGAGAGTTGGGCCCACCGAATAGCCCTACTGATTTTGGTGGGCTGGAGCTATTTTTGTTAGGGAAGGGGATTGAATCAGCCAATTGCAAGGGCAAATGGCAAAGGTGGAGTTGCTCTAACGTTAGTGAGATCCACACATCTATTTTTACTTCTCACACATCAATATTAATTTTTGGCCGTCGGATTGAATGAATTGAAGAAAATCAATGACTAAAAAATAATAAGAATGCGTGAAAGATAAAAATAAGTGTGTGAATAATATTATTCTACTATAATCCTTATGTATCACAACGAATAGCTAGCTAGGTTTTCGTCAATTTTTTTTTTTTTTTTAGAACAAACTATATTATCTACACTAAAGGAGAGATGATGGGCTTATCCTCACAATGGATTATAAATAATGTGGTTCAAAATTTACCTTTGACGAGAATTAAACCTAAGACCTCTCACTTACAAGAAAAACGAATACCACTAGACCGTAATACTAAGTAGCAGCTGGATTTTAGTCTTCAACACAAATAAGGAACCACAATATTACACGTGAGATGATTACACTTTCAACCAAATGTAATTTTTTTAATAGAAAAAATTATTATTATAAAGAGGGGGGAAGTTTGACACTATTACAACAACTTAGAGGAGAGGGAGTTTCGAAGACAAAATGCATGGATAGAAACCAACATCCTACTTACTAAGATATTTGATCACATGCAAATTGCAACCAAGCAAGTGTACTTAATTAAAGATTAACTTTCATCAACATATAATAGAACTTTATTTCTTGATGGAATTATTCACTCTCAATAAAAAGAGCTAATCACTTGTCAAGCAGTTAGATGTCACAGTGCCAAGTGACATGTCAACTTGCTAGTCGTTGTTGTTCAATTTTTGTGCAACTCGCAGGTGACTCTGATATTTGAGAAGAATGACAAGGATCCTCTCCGGATCCTCTTTATGGGGATTCGGGGATTAATCAATCATGTATGTTCATTGTACATCGTGCAGTCAGTTTTCATCAGGTACTATTTATATTTAATTTAAAATTTAAAATAATTTCTGACCGCATGATGTACGATAAACGGATACGATTGATCAATCCTCCAAATGCCCACAAAGAGGATACAGAGAGGATCCTATTCCTGAGAAGAAAGGTATTTTACCAACGCCGTCCTCTATATACGCCTCCAAAACTTGGGTAATATTCGAACAAAGGACAAAACTACCTTATTAACCAACGGTAAAACCATCATCGTACAAATGACCATCACCTGTTTGGGAGAAATTTTTCACTGTTACTGAAACACAGAGTGGAACACTGCTTGTCATTATACAATTGGAGGGATACTGAAAAATAAAATAAAAAAACTTTTCTCGAATTGTATAATGATGTTCTGTCTCGTATTCTGAGTATACTGAAAAATATCTCATTGTATAGGGTACAACATGTTGCCACTTATAACATCTTTAATGGTGTAGACAAATAAAAAAAGGCAAAATTGTACTCTAATGGTTGATTGGGTAAGTTCCCTACTCAATTAACTCATAAAAAGTGTAATGCCAATAAAATAGGCAAATCAAGTAGGCAAAAGTATTAAGGGAGTCTTTTGTGGTGGAGGATGAGAAAGCAACGAAGGAATAGGCAAGTGAGTCCCATTTGTGCCAAATAAGATGGTTTGGCAGATTTTTGGCAGACTTGTACATAAATGGGGCATATTGACAGAGGTAATATTCTTCTGGGGGATTAAGTAAGAAAAAATGAGTTTCAAGGGGCAAAGTAAGAGTGGATATGAGGTTTAGGCAGCGTTGTTGTAAATAAGCCTATTGTATACTAGTAATTAGGGCTGTAAATTGACTTGAAACATGTTGAGCTTGCACCAAGTTTTGCCCGTGTTTGGCTTGTCAAAGCTTGGTTGGTGAAAGAACCAAGTCAAGCCTAGTTTGGCTCGATTAGTAAAGAAGTCAAGCTTGAGCATTGGTATATTTGGCTCGTAGAGCTTGTGAGCAGCTCAAAATTTTTATGAGACAACTTGAGGTAGATCTCTCCTCCTATCAATATAAGGAGTAACATAACTTACTTATAAGTCTATACTAGGTCTCTCATTCTATCAATATGAGATTCATTATTAACATTCATAAGGTTTTGAAAGAATCTTTTTCAATAGAATGGATATTTTGAAGACGATTTTGGCCTCGGACTTGGTCTTATATAGTATGTGTATTGTATCTGACTCAAGTATATAACTTGACACACATAAGACTAATATGACCTAAACAACAAATTCAACAAAAATGCTTTGGGGCGAAAAAGAAGGTTGACGTTTGAACTCTTAGCCAAAGTATTAAGGGGGTTGTAGAGTAACGAGATAGTAGCATACGGAGTCTAGGATTTGATTGACTCTTATGATGTAACAAAAAGAAGGAGATTTTTT